AGCCGATACCTTTGCTAGTACAGGATTAAGTAGAGTGGCAGCTGCTTCGCCTGTGCGGGCGATACCTATGACGCACACATCATCGGCAAATGCCACGAGTTGGACCCCCGACGGGGTTTCCATGTACAGTAAATCGTCGTAAAAGACATTCCATAAGGCCGGTCCGAGGACCGAGCCCTGGGGAACGCCGCACGTCGTACTTCGACGGTGGAGTGATTCGCCGACCAATATGGATCATTACTGTAGGTAGGATCTTATCATTTTTATGAGGTACGTTGGTACATTCTTGACCCGGAAAGCATTATCCACCTTCTTCCAGGGCGCCGTGTTGAAAGCATTCTTCACGTCAAGTGACACAGCCACGCATATGTCCCGGTGCTGTGCCGCGCCTAAAGCTGCGCCGTGTACGGCGTTCAACAGTCGTTCAATAGCGTCCGAAGTCGAACTGCCTTGGCGAAACCAGTATTGGTTAGGTGATCTATGACCGGTACTATTTAGGTGCGCGTCGAGTCTGGCCAGAATTGGCCGCTCCAAGAGTTTCCCCGAGGAATCAAGCATATCCAGCGGCCTGTAGCTGGACGGTTCGGTTGTCGGCTTACCCGGGCCTTTGTGCAGTAGCACCAGTCTAGATTCCTTCCATCGGGTAGGAAAGGTGGTATTGGCTAGGCAGTTGTTGTAGACACTGAGTAGGGTTAGGTTAGGTTAGGTTGCCATCGGGGCCCGTTGCCTTACCGGGGGGAAGTCTTTTGCAGGCTTGTGCCAGTTCAGCCAGGGTGAAGTCTTCCACGGTTTCATCATCTGCGGTTACTGATTGGCGAGGCTGGAGTGCCCAGTTTGTCGCTGGGGGGTTCGGGAAGAGGTGATCGGCGATCTCCGACTCCATGCCACGGACTTCAATTCCTGGACGTCGACGACCGACGCGTTTGGTAACGACTTTATAAGTAAGACCCCATGGGTCGGAATCAACGGATCTGCACAGGTCGGACCAGCATTTAGCTTGGGAGGATCTTATTGTCTGCCACAATTCCTTCCTCTTGACCGTGTATGCCATTCGG